ATTCCCCCTCCTCCCTGGATCGCTCCGTTCCTCTGTCTGCGTCCATAAAATCGACCCAGGAGCAACAGCAAATACCTTTGGCAGCATCAAAATGATGATTTACTGCAAGAAGCAGCTTTTTAACAGCATCTCTTTGCTTCCCTCAGCAGAGAATCAACATTTTATTAAATTCAACTTATTTTGTGTTAGTAACAACATCACTTCATGCTGCATCTCCCCAGTCAGAGGGATCACAGGATGTTGGGGATTGGAAGGGACCTCAAAAGATCATCCAGTCCAATCCCCCTGCCAGAGCAGGAACCTCAATGAGATCACACAGGAAGGCGTCCAGGTGGGTCTTGAATGTCTCCAGAGAAGGAGACTCCACACCCTCCCTGGGCAGCCTGTCCCAGGGCTCTGTCACCCTCACTGGAAAGAAGTTTCTTCTCAAGTTGAAGCAGAACCTCCTGTGTTCCAGCTCACACCCACTGCCCCTTGTCCTACCATCGGGCATCACTGAGAATCACCACAGCTCTTCTGATGTTGTTTTTTTAAAATTAAAAACACACATGCTTGTTTTGAAACAAGAATTAAAAATTAAGATAGTCATACATCTCTAGGTGTATGACATGAAAAATAAGACTAGCAAAGAACTAAGGAGAAGGAAAAAAAAAAACCCCAAACTTTAAAAATTCCATGCAAGACATATAGAGAGGGAGCAAAGAAAAGTGACATCTCTTTCTGCCAAGCAGAACCCCCCCCCCCCAGAGTCAGGTTCAGATTCTCCGTATGGAAACCAGCATCAATTGTTGTGTTTTACAATTTTATTGTTGTGTTTTACGATTCAATGGAAGGAAAACAACCTAACAAAACCAAAACAAAACCCCAAACCACCAGACCAGGTACAAAAGCATCAGTCCAGTGTGGATCTAGGTCAAACCATCTGCAATGTGAACTCACAGCAGATCTCCTCTACACACTGTTTTAATGTTTCAATACAAAATCCCAGGACACAGGTCTATGGCATTTCATCATGTGGAAGATCGTAATATGAAAAAGAAAAGGCAGCTCCATTTCCACCTTTATCTGTCTGGACGGGTCATTCCCGGCCTGGTTGGCACCATCATGGGTCTGGAGGGTGGTCTCATCATCGGGGGGCCTGGCATCATTGGCATGTGTCCTCCCATGGGTGGCCTCATCCCTGGAGCTGCATGGGGAAAAAGAGGATGTTAGATAAGAGCTCTCAGGAGCAGCAACTGCTGAGTCTCAGGGTGCAGGTTCTCCCCCAAACCCTCCAGGAAACTTTCATTTTACAAGTGTGTGTGCTGTGATCTGGAAGCTGCCTGAGATGGATTCAACTGAATCACAGAATGTCAGGGATTGGAAGGGACCTCAAAAGATCATCCAGTCCAACCCCCCTGCCAGAGCAGGAACCTCAATGAGATCACACAGGAAGGTGTCCAGGTGGGTCTTGAATGTCTCCAGAGAAGGAGACTCCACACCCTCCCTGGGCAGCCTGTCCCAGGGCTCTGGCACCCTCACTGGAAAGAAGTTTCTTCTCAAGTTGAAGCAGAACCTCCTGTGTTCCAGCTCACACCCATTGCCCCTTGTCCTACCATTGGGCATCACTGAGAAGAGCCTGAAGGATATTAGCAATTAGTACAGGAAAAACCAAGTTCCCAGGTTATACCCCCACTTTTAACAATATTCACTGCTAAGTTATTGTCAACCACTCAAAAGTGACACTAGCTTAATTACTGAATTGCAAAGTTCACGTGGAAAAAAAGTGGGAAACCCTCCAGTTAAGTGTGTTAAAAACAAAAAGTCTGGTGTATTTCTTACAGCTGGGCAACAGCATTACCAAAAAAAAAAAAAAGCAGATGCTCTACTAAAAAGCATTGAAATATTGGTTTCCATCCAACTTCTCCAATTACAAGAAAGCTGGGGAGGGACTTTTCATAAGGGCAGTTAATGACAGAACAAGGGGAAATGGGTTTAAACTGAAAGAGGGGAGGTTTAGATGAGATATTATGGAAGAAGTTCTTCACTGTGAGGGTGGTCAGACACTGGAACAGGTTGCCCAGAGAAGCTGTGGCTGCTCCTCCCTGGAAGTGTTCTCGGCCAGGCTGGATGAGGCTTTGAGCAACCTGGTCTAGTGGAAGGTGTCCCTGCTGCTGGCAGGGGGGTTGGGACTGGATGAGCTTTAAGGTCCCTTCCAACCCAAACCAGTCTGGGATTCGACGATTTTCAGGCAGCCACTACACTGCCCAATATCACAGATTATGCATGTCTCATCTGTCCTTAAAAAACACTCCAAAGAACAGTTTCTCCCAGCAAGGCAATAATTGCAAAGACACTTCACTGCTTTTAGTGTGCATGTGTGTATTCCTTGAGATTTGTTCCAGTAACTGCTTCACTAAAACATCCTCTGAGAATTCCTCCAGTGCCAGTAAGCTCAGAAGCCAAATGGATCAGAGACATTTTATAGTTTGCCTTTACAGTTCTGGAAAAAACAACTTTTTAAGGCACGTCGTTTATGGGGAACACGTTATCTTGAGACATTTTAAATAATAAAATTCACTTAGTGCTGAAATCATAGAATCACAGAATGTTGTGAGTTGGAAGGACCCACAAGGATCATGGAGTCCAACTCCTGTCCCTGCACAGGACAATCCCAACATTCACACCATGTCCCTGAGGGCCTTGGCCAAATGCTGCTGGAATCTTGTCAGGCTTGGTGCCATGTACCCCTTGTGCATAAATGTAATCACTACAAACAGAGAATTCCTAACCAATTTGAGATCATACTGCCAGGATGAGAGACAGAAAAGTTACAGTTCACCAGAGTGATCATTTCAGTTGTACTGAGGGACTAGTAACTCTCAACAAATCATCAAGGAACTTTAATTAGCAGGTGTAAAACTGTTTTATGTCTCAGCACGCAGAGACAATGGATCAGCACATGTGTGGAGGCAGCACATATAAACTGAAATACTCCCACAGCTCGGGGCTGTTCACACACGCTGCGTCTGGTGCGGCGGCTGAAATGACGCGAGCTATAAACCAGAGTGTGTCGCTCCAGCCAGCGCCCAACTCCTGCAGCTGCCTCATGTTTTCTGAATTCCTTTCACAACTCTCTACTGCTAACGAGACAGAAATAACCCCAAAGATCCTGCAAACCACAGCACGCAGTACTGCAGTTCATAACTTATCTATTTCCAGACTTACCAGGTCCAACCGGCATCATTCCTGGTGGGGGTGGGCCCATCATTGGCATCATTGGGGGTCCACCCATATGAGGGGCTGGCATCATGCCAGGCCGGGGGGGGCCAGCTAAACACAAACAGATTGATTACACGTCTGGTTGCTTCCATGTTTCTCAATGTACAGTGCAAAATAATTATTAAACCTTAGAGGAAATTTTAGGAATCAAAGTGTGTCGGGCAGTTTTACAACCGCCTGCCTTCGTTTTCAGTTTCAACTCTTCACTTCAGGTGCCAAAAAGTGACTTGGAAGAAGAATATGCTTCTTATTATATATTATATTATATATTCTTACTTCCAACTTTGCACACCTCATGCAGATGACTACCACTGCCAACAGCAGGACTCTAAGCAAAAAGGAATCTCAGCAGTTTGCCAGCTGAAGTGAAAAAGAAGTTTATCAATCCTATTCTATTAAAAAAAAACCCCAACAACAACCCAACAAACCACAAACAAACAATAAAAACAAAACAAACAAAAAAAATCACCATGCTGGAAGTTTTCATGAAGGCATCTACATGGCAGCTAGGATGTAATGAGGAAGCACACATTTCTATTAGTGTGCTCAACATTACTGAAATAATACAAACTAAAGATTCAGATGATTGTTGGAACACAAAACATTCTCTTACATTCTGGTATTCACAAGCTCAAAATATCTTAGCTTGCTTTCAAGCTAAAAGGACTTCTCTTTACAAGTCCAAGAAACATGCAACACAGGTACAGGAGCTGCCATTCCAGTTTAAAACTGTGCAGTTGAGAGACTTACGGATACTGGGAGGAGGTGGTATCATGGCTCCTGCAGGAGGTGGTGCCGAGAAGGGGGTAGGTGGGATTTTCCCTTGCTGAAATGCAGCCGCTACATTGGGGGGGAAAAGAAAAAAAACAAAAAAGGAAAGAAAGAATCCCAGGAGAAAAACCAGTTACTAGGTTAAGGAATCTCCTGAGTCCATCCTCCTTCTCATGCCACGCGGTCAGAGCATCACTTCACGTCACGCTGCATGCTCAGTTGTTCTAACTCTGGAACAAATATCCCTGGTTTATGCTGCTTGTCACGGCCGAAGCACCTGATATTCTTGAAGACAATTATTAGAGTAATGACTCCAGCTGAGACTAGAGAGCTCCTTGATGAATTTCACACATCTAACAGGAAGGTGGATGGCAGAGAAGATGCATCACGTGATTTGCAGCTGCAAACTTTCACCTGGGATCGTTAGGTGAAGACATGCTAGGTTGAAAATGGTAATAAGGTAATGAATTAGGGAGGTGACAAAAAAAACCCATGGAAAACATTTTAGGGGAAGAGAAGAAACTCAAAAGATTGGAATTGACTAGAAGGAAGGTAAGAGATGGGAAAGTTGGAAGCATCGTGAGGAAAAGGGAATGAAGCTGCATCAGGGAAAGTTCAGAC